AGCGGCCGTCAAAGTGGCGCAACCACAACTGGCTGCTGCATCATGACAACGCGCCAGCGCACACCGCCCTCAAAGTTCGGTAGTTTTTGGCCTCAAACACTATGGCCGTCATCCCGCACCCTCCTTATTCGTCGGATTTAGCTCCGTGTGACTTCTTCCTCTTCCCCAAGATGAAAATTCAGCTAAAGGGAAGGAGATTTGAGACGATAGAAGAGATTCAGGCAGAATCGCAGATGGTGCTTGACAGGCTGACAAAGAAAGATTTCCAGGGATGCTTCCAGGCTTGGCAGCGGCGCTGGGATCGTTGTGTTCACTCCCAGGGGAACTACTTTGAGGGTGATGGATGAATTTAATACCTGAGATAAGTGTACGGGTTTTTATAGGCGCAGTCTTGAAACTTTCCGATCGCACCTCGTACAATATTTCGTTTGATAAGTTCATGTGGAATCCTCTGCTGTGCACATTGTGATAAAATTTGTTATTACACATCATTTTATAGCGTTTGTATTTTCATTTAGATATATATATATATATATATTCTATTGTCTAAATCCAACAATGTTGATTCAGCCCCAGGAGAAAAAACAAATTTATGTGTGTGCAAAGTGCTCCAACTGTTATAAAGTAATGAGTTATCAGGATGCATGCCCTTGTGACACTGATACTGTAGAGTACAGTAATCAATTTATATCATTATACTACTACTACTTGGCACTGTAGCTCTTTTGTAGGGCCTCCCCCTATAACATGATAAGATATTTCAGATTTCATGTGGTAGTTTATTTCCTGATGTTTGAATCATAATGGTCTGAATAAAAAACATTGCATTAACTGTCTTGGGTTGAAATCTACAGGATGGGGAATATTTAAGAGCTTCATAATTTGTACTGTTCACCAAATATTATTAGTATGGTCTGATCAGAGGTGAGATGGTTAGGCCATGTAGCACATATAGAGTAGACAAGGAATGCATACAAAACATCAGTTGGGAAGTGTGAGGGGAAGAGATTACTCAGAAGACCAAAACATGGGCAGAAGGATAGTTTTGGTGGGTGTGGGTGCCAGTGGTGGACTGTTGTGAACACAGTAATGAAACTTCAGGCAGGGAATTTCATGACTAGTTCAGTATATTTTTAGCTTCTGAAGAAGGATTCTGTGTAGTGTTTGCTTTGTAGCTCTATCTTGTGCTGAGTTTTAACTTTTTCAGTGAAGACTTGATGTCAAATGACAGTCAGAGGTTTTCTGTTTTCATTGTGTGCGTATGCCCTTTGTATTTATTTACATAATTATAAGACCTCCAAAGTTTTGAACTGCATAATTTGTATGTATGTTTGTGGCTTCTTCATCTTGCTCTTTTTTGGCAGATAGACAATATGGATTGACATTGACATGTGAATTATTTCTAAAAGTTTGTATTGTAACATTTGTTAATGTTTTGTATTTCTCCTTCATTGCAGTGTATAGAGGTGAAAGATTAATCATGTTTAGTTACAGCTTTGTGAAAATCCCATTCATGAAGCAACGTACATTTAAATGCATAGTTCTGGAAGAGTTTATAGAAATTAGATATGGGCTTTTCTGTCAGATACAGTTCTTGTAAAAAATATAATATTATGTAGCTGTTTCCTTTCTTGCTGGCATGGCCTTGTTGCCATATGGGTTGGTGGCTGCTGTTGCATGTTGAGAAGCAAACTGAAATGTGATGTGTTTATGTAGGAAGCTAGACGAACAACAAATATATTATAAACTTTATCATTTTATTACTTTATGTTCATTGTGTCTACATTTCACTTTAAGAGTAAAAGTAAATCATTATTTTTCTATGTAGACATCAGGGTGTTAATATATATAACTAATTATTGTGTTTGATGTGATAGTGTAACAGTTATTCATAACTTAGTAAGATCTTTTTTCTCCTCTTCATACATGATGCACTTTTTCCTGATCTGCAATTATCTTTATTCAATAATTGTTAACATAGTTTTACTGTGAATTGTTAAATGAATAATCTTATTTCTACTGATGAGAATTGTTATGATACACTCATGAACATGTTCAGATGTTTTTTTCTTTATTCCTTCCTGACCTAATGAAACCTGAACATGTTGCTTACAGACAATCATATGTTTGGCATTGTGATGAACAGTGATAATGTTCCGCCCAGATATAACAGCAATCGATGGAGTGAGTTTATTATGTTCTTGATGTATTGTTTCCTTGCACACTTGGTGTGGCATGCTTTCACTTTAAAATAGATCTGCTACTTTGCAATACAAAGTGGAACTTTGTCAGAATGATTCTAATTTTATATTTTTAGTATGTTAAGTGATTAAGTGGTGTATTAATTAATAGCTTAGCATGCTTACCTGCTTATAATAATGCCATTCCTTCTGCTTACTTTTTATGCTTCAGAATACATGTTTCTTATGTTGTACCAGGGCATACAGTATGTTGAAGTAGTAGTAGAAGAATGTAAATGAGTGGCCACCTATCCAACGCTTGCACTGCGACCATTACTTTTCTTGATCTTTTGTGCATTCCTTTTCACTTAATCCACTAGCAGCCCCATACTTCACATGAAATACAGTATTCTACATAGCAGGATCTTGTAATCTCTTCTCAGCTTCTTGGGATGGTTGATACTGTCAGCTCCCAAGGTGGTATACCAGAACTACTGGCTCCCTTCTGAGACAAATAAACTTTCAGATGGAAACTCTGTGTTAGCTGTTTTATTGGGGTCATAATCAAGGTCTACCTGTAGTATGTCCTGAGTCTTGTAGAGTAATCGGGTCCTTAGAAGATTGAACCTCTTTAATTAGGATATTGCCCTCAGACTAGGGCCTCCTTGGACTTGGATAGTACCATGTATCCTGATTACCATAAGCCTCTGGTACTACCTTAGCTCTCCCTGGCTTCTTTAAGCTTCCTCTTCGCATTTCCAGACACTTGATCTGTGCCAGATGAAGTCTTGTCTACGTTGGCTGCATATTGTAAACTGATTAACTAAATGGAGCAGAGTCCTTGAGAAATTTAGTTTAATAATAAATTCTTCTCAGGCTACCAGCCATGTAAGGTGGCTTCCTTGTCCTCAGGGTCAAAACTTATAGTTACTTAATCAAGAAATTGTCTGGCATCATGAAACCTGAAGGTTTATTGCCATGTTCACAAAAGCTGTCAAAGTCTTGGGTTCTGCATAACTTTTTGCAACATGCTGGTTTTTACATTGTTGTGATATTAGACCCCTGCCCAACATCTGGCCTGGAAGACCACCCATTTTAGGCTGTCTACAACTGGTTATTCAATATATTTTTGAGTACCCTCCTTTGCTGGAGGTCATTGTCGTTGTTCGACATTTATTCTGTGGCAACAAGGGATGCATTTTACATTACGTGGCAGGTGAAGTCATACTGTTTTAGAGGTGCTATTAAACTACACTTGTGTTTGTGTACCTACACTTTGAAAGACCAGAATCTGGTTATGTAAACCGGTAAATGTTAAGTTCCTAGAGTGACAGGATACTTTCTCCAACTTGATAACCCATTGTGTTCTGTCTGTCCAAATGACTGTAAAAGTTAGCAAGATATAATTGGTATTTTGGGAATTGTCTCTGCGTATTTGTGTAGTATGTCTCCTGAATATATGAAGCATGCATCAGGTTTGAGTTGCAAAATGTTCATTTACACAGGGTAGATTTACAGTTTTATACAGTTTATGCTTGCATGTAAGATAAGCATGTGACAGAGTGTAGATTTTCTATTTTTTGTAAAGAAATTTAGTTTGTAAATATATAAAATATATGATGAGCCATAAGTCATTTAACCATTGTTGTAACTTCTCACTAATCTACCAGTATATTGCTAACTCGCCAGTATATTATGTGGGCCTACCAATTTACTGAAGATGTGTAAATTCACAGAAGACATTGGATGTAATTTTTCCCTTCTATTTAACACAAATTCTGTCTCATGTTTGTAGATGTATAACAAAGCACTGCCTTGGATATGGTTGCTTTTCATCTTGGGGGATGTTGGGTCTGGTGATCATGGTGGTTTAAATTCTTTGAAGTCACATGGTTACAAAACAACTCTGCCAGCATTGCCATAGTGGAATTCAGAGTGTGTGCAGTTGCACCATCTTGCCACAACCAGCAATCTAATTCAGTTTCATCCCATAGAAGAGTGAAACGCATAGTTAGATCCTGGTAGCTTCCAGCAGCCATAATTTCCCTGAAGAAAAGGGGGCCATCAACCCAGTGACATGAAACTGTACACCACATGCCTGTTTTTTCACTGTGCAGTGTGTGGGGTTATGTTGCTCCATATCCTGCTGTTATGACTATTAAAATGTGCACTTTGGTGGAACCATGCTTCATCTGTAAAGAATATTTGCAATATTTCAAAATAATTTCAAATAAGTTGTCAAAAACACACAAATAGTGTACTTTTTTTTTGTTTGTTCAAGCACCATGTGAATTGGGTACAGCAAAAGTTTCAGACACTTTGTACACCTTTACAGACTTTCATAATTTAAACCATTCTGCTGAGACAGTCATCTAATGAATTTTTTAGGTGTCTGTGTGAAACACAGATGAACATTGTTCAGTGTTTCATCAGTGAGAAGTGGTGGCAGACCATATTCCTCATTGTTGTCCACACTGCCTCTATCATGAAAACAATCAACAAGTTCACAATGTTAATTTATTTTGATTGCACAACTTGGGAAACACATCTTTAAATGGCACTCAGCATGTGACTTTGACATGCAGTAATGTTTGGTAATGAATTTCCTTTGCACTCATGAAAAGTTTATGTTTGTGTTTAGGGTGACCCAACTTCACTGACTGGCCATGCATAGACACATGTACATATTTTGTGTTTGTCTGAAAGAAACCTCTTGTCTTTTGAAGGGATTGTGTCACTTTTGGCTCACCTGTGTAAGGAATTAGAAAGGGCGATAAAAATCCGTAGCACAACTTCCTTCGGAGGGGAAGTAAAGCCAGTGGTCCCATGTCGTATATTTACAGCTTGTAAAAGAACCTTACAAGCATGATATGAGATGTTTCATAAGCAAAACTCAGTGGCCATTTCTCACCCATGTCTCTCCTGATTCTCAGGATTGAGCAGAAATTGTGCAGGGGCAGTGGGCTTGTCACTCACTACTCAAATGCATCCTTCAAGACTAATAAGGACAAGTTGCCATGAGCAATAGGCTCAATTCTTGTAGTAGTTGATGATGGTGATGATGAGTTGGAACATTAAGAAGGGAGGGGCTATGCCAGTGCTTTACTGAGTCATATTTTGATGTTACAAATCTCTGTTTCTATCCTTTAATACTTCATGTATGGCTTTGGGCTTCACTCTATATGCTGATCTTATTTCTGGGTTGTTGACAGAAGTTGCTATGGGACAAGATGCAGTTGTATTTTAGGGATGTTTACAGAAGTCATGCAGCATGTTTATTAACACCTTGTATCCTAATTTAAATGGCTCATTGCACTGGTCTGGCATCCTGTTTTGTTAAAATATGGCTGAGACTACTTTAAAGACCAACAACTCAGAATTGTACCATTGAATGAGAGTCAGTATTAAGACACAAGGTGGAAATGTGAACATTGCAACACCAACTGCAACATTTTTAATATATTTATTTGCAGGTATGCCAACATCAGCAATGCTTTCAACTATGAGCAACTCATTTTCAAGTCCAGCAAGGACAATGAGTGGTTTGCAGCAGTCATCACCATTTTTGAGCACTCACCCTCCAGCCGAAGACCGTTATGCAGCACTCAAGGATTTGGACAGTTTGATGAAGACACAACAGGCTTCTTCAGAACCACAATTCAGTGATTGGTCCACAGGTATGGTTCATGTCCTTGAACGAGTGCTTTGTTTTCTTGTGGTGGAATAGTTAACCCTCCTGCTGACTTGTATTTGGGAGGTTCCAGGTTTAAATATTGACCTGGAGACCAGCTATCCTGACTTGGGGGGGGGGGGGGCCACAGTAATCCCTAACCACACATTCTGTATAGCCTAGAATATAAATGGATAATTGTAATATGTTTGTCTTTAAAATGGGGACTAGGTGAGAGACAATTGAGGGAAAATAAATTTGAGGGTACGGAAGGAATGGACATAGACAACAGGGCCACTTATGGAATGACAGATAAATGGGAAAGGATTTGTTGTACGGTGACTAACCCTCATATGACCTTTACTACTTTAAGACCCTATTAAAAGCACATCTTTTCACCTTCTCATGTTGAGACTAGCTGTCCTGACCAAATTTTTTTTATGGTTTCCTCAGTTCCTCCAGGCAAATGCTGGTATAGTACTTTAAATTAGGCCATGACCACTTCTTTCCAAATCCTTTCCAGTTCATTAATACTGCCATCCTCTCATTCTATGCTATACAGTCTGAGCTACTGAAAATGCATTATTAAATAAAGTATAAGTACATAAATATTGATTGTTTTCAGTTGTCTAAATTGTGTTTATGTTGTGTATATTACACTTATTACATGCATATGAGAACTCTGTAATGTTTGGTGCCAGACTTTTATTTTGTGAAAAGATTCCAATTTATGGATAAACTTCTTTTAAATTTATAGAACATATGTGTTACTACCTGAACTATACAAGCATTTCAGATCTTACAGTATGTGTGTGAATATAAACTGAAGTTCTTTTTAACTCTATTCTGTCAGCTTCTGATAATAATTCACAGAGAGAAAGTTGCATCTTCTTTTGGGACAATAAAATAGTTTTGGTGATTGACACCACAGTAATCCCTAACCACACATTCTGTATAGCCTAGAATATAAATGGATAATTGTAATATGTTTGTCTTTAAAATGGGGACTAGGTGAGAGACAATTGAGGGAAAATAAATTTGAGGGTACGGAAGGAATGGACATAGACAACAGGGCCACTTATGGAATGACAGATAAATGGGAAAGGATTTGTTGTACGGTGACTAACCCTCATATGACCTTTACTACTTTAAGACCCTATTAAAAGCACATCTTTTCACCTTCTCATGTTGTTGTGCAACATGTAAACACTAAATTTAATGCTGGGCAAATTGAAGAGGTAGGTATTGTTCTGGTGGCTGGCATCATATGTTGTCATACAGACTGTTTGAAAGTGTTTGTTTTGACTAATTGAATTCTTTTACTTTATTTGTAATATTTAGTATAGTTCTTTCAGTTTTATCTTCTTAACATTCCAAGCGTAAGAAATTATATTATGCCCCTCAACATTAAGTGTGTTAAATTGAAGAATTGATTTGTCACCTATTTTGGCTATTTTAACATTTTATTGTTTTATTTTAAACAGTTTTGATATATAACTATCCGTACCCTAATTATTTAAGTGCTAGCCATTGCTCTCATTATTCTTCATGTTTCTCAGCTACTTCAACTGCTGCCACGTGGTCTGTTAATGGTCCAACTACATCCCAGGCTGGTTTTCTTAATGTTCATGCTGGAGGATTTTCAGATACTGCAATTGGCAGTACAGTCAACCCATTTACAGGTATGTGAAAAATGTTCATGTGTAATTTAAATGAATGTGACATGAACTTTGTATGTAGAGATTAGCTGTACAAACATTTAATTATTCTTGTGTTCTGTCATTTCTTAGGCACAATTGCTAACTCTTGGGTTTCTTCTGGGTCCAATGGTATACCTAATAGTTCAAATCCACCATCTGGATTTGGTGCAAATCCATTCAGGACAAGACCAGGTCAGCCTGGTTTTGGAATGAATTCTGGTAAGAAAGTTCCCTCACTGCTGTCTGCAGTCCCTCGTTTCACACACTCCGAAAAAGACTGGTCCCTGCTGTACTTCTTCATTATGTTAAATTGTATTTTCCTTAACTTACTAGTAGTGTTCCTTCTACATTTAGTTGTGTAGTGAAACCTCGTCTTTATTCTGACTGGACCTGCCACTATTTGGTATTCAATCAGGATAGAATATATAGTTTCTGTGAAATTTTCACTGTATGATTTGATTTGTAACAGTAAGAATTATTAAATTCATATAGCAGCAAGCTTTTGTTGACTTCCTGCATCATAAGAGCTCAAAAATTCTCTTCTTAGAAGTGTTATTCCCAGCCTTTGTGTTCAAAAGGATTCAGGTTTTATTTGTCTCCTAAGGACATGTTTCAGAGTTAGGCCTAACATCTTAATGCTTTAATAGCTCGTATGATGTATTGCACATATTGGTTCCATTTCTCAGCATCTGTTTATGAATGTGAAATAATATAAAATATAGGATTTGAGATTTTCACAGTGGTCAGTCTGAAGAATGCTGTCTTCTGTGCTATTGCGCCGTGTAGTCGGGTAGATTTCCACCAACGTTTCGGAGATCATACTGCCTCCATCATCAGGGCGATGAAACATTCATCTTCATGTCAACTTCATATACCCAGTCCACTTCGTTTATTGCCATAGGAAATTGTTCCCTGTGTGGTGCCTGAAATAATCATGCTTCTGTCCAGTAGAATGAAATCAATATGAGATCATGATGTCTTGAGGCTTAAAGAATGAGAAACTTTTCTCATGCTGATTCAAGATAATTTGTTGAACTTGATATGAGGCTGATAATTTGAAATTAATATTTTGGAAAACTTTTGGAATGTGTTAACATTTTATATCCAGTGATGCGAACAAGTTCAGGAGGTGGAAATATGTGCTCTTGAAAGTGACTGAATGTGTTGTAAGTGATTGAAGTTCTGATTTTGTGTTTCATGTGTGTGTTTGAAAACTGATGGTGTTTAAGATAATTTTTGCCAAGAATTTGTAAACGTTTTTATTTTTCTTCTTCTTTTCTTAAGGATGTCTAAACGTGGGGTCTCTGTTTAGCCCCATCCCTATTTTTAACTGTGAACATGTGATGCACTGTAACAAGAAATATATGTGCATCTGAACTGATGAAAGAAGTCTTGAATACAGTGTGTAAGTCCCCAAAGAATGAGGGTCATAACTAGAGCCATTAAATTTATGCTCAGATAATTTGTATTTGCACTCTGTGGTATGTTATTTGATCTCTAATATGTGGTTCTTATAGTATTCCATTATATTTGCAGATGCAGGTGCTTTTGGATGGGGCAATGTGGGAGTCAGTGGAATGCCCAATGGACAGGTTCTGAATGGAGGCCTTCCACCATTTCACCCAACTGCAGCAGCTTTCCCAACTAGTCACTCCATGAACTTCTCAACCAAGACATGGCATAATAATGCAGTAGGGAATCCATTTGTGGTGAGTGTAGACCACCTCAGAAAGATACTCCCTTGACCATACACCCTGAAAATTCAGGGCTGCTTTGGATGGTAGTACAATAATTTGCTCATGATTTATTGGTCTGAAATGTATCAGCCATAACAGATTGTACTTACTTTGCCATCTCTTGACAAACATTATGAAACATTTATGAGATTTTTTCAAACACAGTGTATTTGAAGGGTCTTTGTAATCAAGAGGATGCATCTTCTTGTTATTTGTCAGGGTGACAGTAGAAGAAATAGAACTCTAAAATCAGTGCATGTTGATATTCCATGCTTAATAATGAAGTAATGTCAGAGTTAGTCCTGTGTGCTGAATCTGTTGAGAAAACAAACTTTTTGTGTGTTCAAGTGAAAGTGAGAAATTGAGATACTTGTAATTTAGATCATGGAATTTATAGTTTTAGTTCCAGTTATGAAGAAGCTATGCTTCCCCTGTTAAAGGAAAATAAACAGTGGGTGGTTTGAAACATCTCTTCCAAGTCCAAACCAAAAACCTGGATTTTTTCAGCACCAACTCACACAAATATGGATTTTTATAAAAAAAAATTCTTTAAGAAGAACTAGCACAGTTCAACACAGTGACCATTCAAAAGCATGTTAATATGAATAAAGAACTGTCACCACATGTTACACTTAAAAAGTGGACGATTTGCTAATGTAATTAAAATGAATATGTTTTGGGCTGTGTGCACCATAATGTCAAGATATGGCAGAATCTGTGTTGAAGAGCACAGATCAGCTGGTGGAATTTTAATTTTCACCAATTTATAGTGAAACCATGTCATTGGATAAGATTTTCTTTCTTGTCTATGTTACACATGAGTAACTATGAGCAGGCTGAAGGAGACTTTATAAAAGAAACTATTTTGTTGAGCTGATGAATGAATCTTTCAGAATACTCCTTAGACTGGTGCAATACTTCTGCATTGATGAGTCCCTTGTTATATTGAAAGGAATGGTGGCATTGAAGCATAGATATCCTGTCAAAACATTACATGTTTGGAGTGAAACTTTTTGTTATGTGATGTCAAGACAGGATTTGTGCTTGACCTTATTTAATGTAGAGGTGCTGAAACCAGCTTTCAGTTCTGAGATTGGTGTTTCAGGCAGTGTAGTCACTAAATTATTGCAGCTGTATCTCATCTGTGGTCATAAGTTGTTTGTTGATAACTGGTACATGAGCCAAAGTATTGTCAGGCATTGTAGTAGTAAGAAGCTAAATGTGTGTGCTGTGTGTGAGAGTTAAGTAAGTCCCTGTGATGTTTGTGACCTGGGAAGGCACGTGCTGCGCTACTAGCAGACCGAAAAATATGATGCATGTTCAAATTGTATGTAAACTTAATTGGTAACACTTTAAAACACTGGAAGTTATAAAATAGTCAGTAGTCAGTAATAATAAAACGAATGATATTACAGACAGCGGAGCAGTGGGGGAAAAAAAGATGTGAAATATCCTTATATTAAAGACCAGTGTTCTCCACTTAGGAATAGGGGGTTTACACATGCACACTACATCACTTACCTACCAAGCCACCTACGTCATAGGGACTTTCTTAACTCTCGTGTACAACAGCACTGTCTGTAGAAACAGGAAGCGAATGCCAATGCTAGATCTTGGGAAATTTTTTCTTGAAGTAATTTGAGGATTACTTTTCACACACCATGGACCAAGTATGCAGAAATCATACTTCTGATGTGAAATTTTGAATGGTGTTTTAAAGGTAGTGATTGTGATGATGTCCTTTGGCCAAATGCAATTAAGTGTATGGAATTGTGAGAATGTAAAAGACTTTTCTCCAGAGGATCCAACAGATGGTAAGAAATTGAACAAATCAGTGAATTAATTGTGTATGTTCATGATGTTTCAGCTTGGTGCTAGTCCTGCTTCAACTGGGCATTCCAGTAATCCTTTTTTATGAAAGTGAAGTTTTATCTGGTGAGTGCATTGAGCAATATGCTGGTGAATATTCAAGTCTGAGGGATCATATTATTTTAACATATGCCCAGAATAACACGCTTTCTTAAGTAATTTGTAATTTGTAATTTAATATATAAATATAAGTATATATATAGACTTCCAATCCACTTGAAAGTTGAAGGCATATAATGTATTTTATAAACAGATTAAATCTCATGATGAAAAAGATGAAATCTCAGTCAAATACAAGCCGAAGCTGGAACAAATTTAATGTAGTAAATACATATATATATTAGTTTCATGGCAAAGTTTTTTTTGATATTTAGCATTCTTGTACAAACACTATATATCAACTTAGTTGATAGTAAATGGTGGGGAAACCATAACTATTTATTTCTAACATTTCAGTTTACATCATATGTATGTATGTTTATATATATATATATATATTTGTAAAACTAAATTTTCATGTGGCATGTGCAAACTTAGTTTTTATGTAGATACTGTGAAACGTTGCCGTTGTTTTCCACTTGTAGATGGAAATGCTGATGAATGTGTTTGCCGTGATAACTGAAGGATGATGGTACATAGGAACTGTATGCTAATGTTACAGATCAAACTACTTTAGATTCATGCTATAGAGCCAAATGTAAAGTGTGAGGAAAGTAACATAAAAGTCTAGTTCACAATGATCTTTTGTGCAGAACAGAATTATTTTAATTTTAGCTAATTTAATCCTACCTTAACTAGACTAATCAGACTAAGATTTTTATAATTGTTCTCATTTATTTTAGGTTAATGTCAGTGTAGTACCTTAAAACAGTTTGCAAACATTTATTCTCTGTAGCTCCCAATTTCATAATTTATAATCAGCTTTGTATCCCGTTTGATGCTGAATGCCTTCTGCAACAAATCCAAGTAACTTATAACTGTCACTTGTTATATTAATTATAAATTAATATTTCTTTTACCCTCTGAAGCCAAAGCTGCACATATAATATTTAATAATTTAGTCCATACCACAAAGCAAACACAACACTTCACCATTACAAAGATCAACTGGTTAATACTGTTTAAGGAAATAATCACTTTTTACACTGAGAATCTTACAAAACACAATAAAAATGGAGACTCACTAATTGTTAAAACAGATAAAAGACAGTTACCATTAGGCTTTAAAGAGTTAATAAAATTTGGACAGAAGGGATGCTTAAGTGTGGTCTTGTGCCATATTTCATTCAAATCACACTGTTTCATACATACTGTATTGTGTCCCTGCATATTTCAGTTGTAAAGGAAATGAATGAGCAGAAATGTCTATAACAGTTACCATATTAGTCAGCATGGATATGTACTAGAGATATATAAGCTGATTATAGACACTAGAGTCTGCGTTTCTGAAGCAGTAATGCAAATGGGGCATTAGAGAAGATCTGAAGATATAAATTAAAAGCTTGTGAGACTGAGGATACAGCTGGATATGTGTTATGTATGAACACCAATAGGTTTGCATTGGGAGTATCTTCCCCGTGTGTAATAAATATTCTGCCCATTTCACTTACCATCATTACTCATTGTATTAGTATGTGGAGAAGCACGTAAATTATGATGTTTCTCATTCTTCTATGTCATCTCTCTAGGTCCAATTATTATTTTCAGCATTTCATTCTCACACACCCTCTTTGTTCTT